GCTTCATGGAAATGACTTCCTTTTTTTGGAATTGAGCGCTGAGTTTGTATGCAGGACTGTGGAGCAGTGAAGTTGTTGCTGCGTGGGTGACGGTGTCTGTTGTTTGTTAGTTTTCTGTCTGCCTTTTTTTGTTGCTTTCTTCCTTGTAGGTAAGGGAGAATGGTCCCTGCCCTGGCGGTGGGCTGATGTGTGCCCGTGCGTGTGTGCGGTGGCGCGGTGCCCTGCGGTGTGGCGTTGTGGGCGGGTGGTGTGGTGCGACAGTGCAAACTAGGCTAGCGAAAGCATGGGCCAGTGATGCGCCACACCATTGGTGATGCATGCTCCGGATGTGTGTGTGTGTGTGTGTGTGTAGTTGGCCGCGGCGGAAGTTTGAGGGGCGAGGTCGCGCTGCGGGGTATAGTGCGGCGTGCACCCGTTGCCTTTCGTGCTGCTGCTGTTGGACGCTGTGCTCGTGGTGCCCATGACGTCGTGGCGCTGCCGTGACTTGGGGCCTGAAGGCTGCGCTTTGCCCTTCTTGTGGGGACAGACGCATTCCTCCCTTTATCATCTTCTCCAGACACCTTTTGCTGTTTCTCGATCAACCATCAGGAAAAAGCACACACGTACACACACCGATAGAGACACAATGCACCGGCATCCCAACACCTCGCTGCTCTCTCCGCTGCTGTTGGTGGTGGTAGTGGTGGTGTGCTGCGCCAACGGGTGCCTCGCCTCTGATTTGCGCCGCTGCTTGTTCGACGAGTTACGGAGGAAGAGCGGCGCACAGCCGCTTGCAGTTGTGCGTGAGGTGCCTCGCAAGGGCCAGAGCGGATGGCAGGCGTACACCCTTTCCGGTGGGGAGAAGACTTGGGCGCCGATCCGCATCAAGGCATTCACGGAGGACATGAACAACCAGTCGCAATACTGCAACCAATCGGGAGTTTGGCGTCCCAACTTTCGTGGTGACACGGCTCCCTGTACCAGAGACGATGTTCTGACTGCTGAGAAGAGGGCAGTCATCGTCAAGCACACTATTCCTCTCGCTGTTGAACTACACTCATCACGTCTTCTTGTTCAACGAGAGGACAACAATATTGTGGTGCCTAAGTTTAATTCGGTGGTTTGTGCTAGTTTTACTGTTCCTGAGGCACACTATACAACGGGTGTGTCTGGTGCTGACATGATTATGTACGTTGCTGCTGGTCCTGCAGCCGGCACCAACGTTGCGTGGGCGGAGAGCTGCGCCTCACTAAAAGATGGGCGTCCTGTTGTTGGTGTCATCAACTTTGCGTCTCAGTCAATCGCCGTTACGCGATTCACAATTCGCATAACCGCGCATGAGCTTGCGCATGCACTTGGCTTCAATTATGAGCAGATGAAGGCCCACAAAATGCTTTCCAGCGTCACTGGTGTGCGTGGCAAGCCACTTGTCACGGTAGTGAGCTCCAGGAAAACTAAACAAATGACTCAGCTGCACTATAACTGCAGCACTACCCCCGGAATGGAGTTGGAGGATGAGGATAGTGATGAGACATCGGGTTCTCATTGGGAGCGGCGCAACGCAAAGGACGAACTGATGACTGGCATGAGTGGTGCAGGATATTACACTGCACTGACAATGGCGGCGTTTGAAGATATGCAATTTTTCAAAGCTAATTGGGGAATGGAAGAACATATGGGATGGGGCCACAATACTGGTTGCAAGTTCCTGAATGAGAAGTGTTTGAAGAACAACATCACGGATTACCCCAACATGTTCTGTAACGAAAGTACGGGTGCTGTCCTTTACTGTACCTTTGATCAGCGTGCTCTTGGACGCTGCACTCTGACGTCACACAAGATGAATGTTCCACAATCGTATCGATACTTCGCCGAGAGTAACCTTGGGGGAAATGGAATTGATCTGATGGATTACTGCCCTATTATTGCGGCGTATGAAAACAGTCGTTGCAGCGACGGGGAGCAAGAGCTATTGCCTGGGAGCCGTGTTAGCCCGAATTCGCGTTGTGTAAAAGGTGATTCGCTGCGAGTTTTTGCAACGGACATTGGTGACGTGTGCGTAGATGTTCGATGTGACAATGACGTAGTAAGCGTGCGGTACCTCGGCGACGATGCATGGTACGCGTGCCCCGAGGGAAGCTACATCACACCCAGGAGAACATTCTCAAGTGGTCGTATTGTGTGCCCAAAGTACATCCAAATGTGTAGATCAGATAGTAGTGCATCCACCGCGTTCGTCATGCCTTTTCTTTCCCTCATCATTACCACATTTTTACTGTCAATCACATGAGCGGCTGGGGATGTGATTCGCCCTCCTTCCACGGGAGGGGGTTGCGCTCCTCTTGGACAGTTTCGTATTGTGAGCAGTCGTGAAAGAGTCTGGCATTTCATTTGCGTGGTGTAGGATTGTTATTAGTTGTGTTGTGGAGCTCACATGGCGTTGCGGTGTGCGCCTGTGCTTGTGTGTGTGTGTGTGTGTGTGTGTCGTTGTCGATGCCGATGTGGGCGTGTTCTTCTTGGCCACTGAACGGTAATTTGTTTTGTTTTTAGTTGTTGTTTTTTTTTTTTTTTCTTCACCCTCGGGTTTCTTCAGTTTAAAGTGACTGTTGAGCACCTCTCGCCCTTATCCTTGTTTTGTTTCTTTCTTTCGTGTGGAAAATGCATGCTGCCTCCAACCCTTCATCATTGCTTTCAAGCCCGCGATCCTACGTGAAGTAGCGATGAAGGTGTACTTTTGCCGTTTCAACGTGCTACGGAGGCCAGCGGTGTGTGTGTGTGTGTGGGAAGTTCCCTCGTATATTTTCCCCCTGAAATCAAAAATTGTGCGAGCATTGGAAATAAATAGAGTTGTACTTGTGCTTTGTTTCGTAACTGCCTATGTGGATACACATCTGCGTGTGCCTGCCTAGCGTGTGTGTGTGTGTGCCTGTGTTTCTCAGTGTTTGACGTCGAAAATTCTCATCTTGTGTTTCCTCGCTCACTCATTTTTTTTTCATGAAATGACGGGTGAGGAGGCTGGCTGATCGGATGAAGACGTGATGGATCTCCTGGACGTCTCCGGGTCATTCTTATGGACCGCAACATTTTTGCGTGATGTGTTTCCTGTTGGTGCTCCCTCCGCATGACACTAGAGTCGTCGCTAGTGCACCGGCGATGATTCAGTGCTTTAGCACGGAGCATGATTTGGTTTCTGGTGGAATGGCAGTTGTGGAGCATCGCCGTGCCGGGCAGGGTGCACTGCTCTTTCTTATTCTGTTTACGGGTTGTGACATGCACCAGGCAGATGTATTGGTTGCTGTACAGGCCCATGGTGTCGTCGCGCATGTTGAGCCATGTGAAGGATTGCGTTCTTTGGCGCTCTGCGTTGATGTGGACAGTAAGCTTCGCTACATAGTGGTGGGCCCGCTGCCGACATCGAAAATAGTGGATGCATGCTTCTGTGATTGCCACAGCGAAAGCAGTGGGCGGCTGACATCTGGCCCTTTGGGTGGGCTGTCTCGCTGTCCACTCGGGCAGCGGGCCTCCATCCGCTTGGAATGGGCTCAAGTGTGCAACGTCAGTGATCATCTCCACGGAATTGCGACAGGGAGCTGCGGTGGCGGTAGTGTGGAGATCCCCGTTGGGCTCCTACGAGACGCGGTGCTGAAAGTGCTGCCCGTGCAACGCCCACACCTGCTGGAGTTCCTGAGCGGTATCCGTCAAGATATGCTGAAATGGGCGAATCATCCAAAGGTGCTTGAAGTGTTGGCTGTGCCTTCACTAGGCCTTGTTGTGCACTTTCTCTCGGGTCCCTTACCCTTTGTCATTGTGTCAGTGCCAGCAGATGCAGTCGCCCGCGGTGACGTTGATGCAGCTCATCATAAACCTGTTGTAAAGGGAGTGGCATTGTTGCTGTGCTCCGAGAAGCTCTCGTGCTGATGCCAGTAGAATCAGACAATTACAAACCCCTCTGCAGTTGCATAATACGATGGAATCAGTTGCGCGGTTATCAGGCTACAGATTTCATGGAGCCCATGTGGGAGTTCTCCGCAGCATTCGCGACAGCAGATACGGAAGATATGGGCAACGACGAGCTACCGCTGCTCAAATGGCTTTCGATAATGCTCCCGACAGAAAAGGATTTCATCACACTGGAAAATGCGCTTCGTCGCTCACACTTCATGGCGGCAGGCTATGAATGTCGTGTATTTGATGGGAGAACGTATAGCACCATTGGGCAGGGCGGCCGCGAAGGATGGCCGTCGATGCCAATTGCAAAGCGCTTTGCCTCTTCAGCGTCAAGGAAATCAGAGACATGCATGACTGAGCGACGTGCAGTAACAAGCAAAGATTCCGCGGGACTGAAGAAGAATAACCCACCGGCAGAAACAGCAAACGCCGATCATGACGATGCTGGGGAGGAGAAAATGTCATGTGTAGGTTTTGTTCAAATTTTGCTGCGCCGCACAGCGCTCGTCTTGCTGCTTGTCGATCGTGTCGTTTGTCTTTATCCCGGCGTGGGGCCAGCTGATGGCGACGAGAGCCCTGCAGCTGCTGCAAATTTGTTCCTTTCTGCGTTTGCGGTGTTGTTCCCGAGGCCGCAGCTAGATCAACACGGCGGCGCTAGTGCTCCTTTGTTGCTGCTGAGGGCCGCTATTCGTGTTGTATGTCTTCTGCGAAACATATCCGCTGCTGTGCGTGTGTCGTGGCGCAGCGGCCACGGGGGTGACAGTTCTGCACTCCTGATGCTGCTATCGCCCATGTGTGGGGAGATCGTCGTGCAAATCATGATGCAGTGCTCCAGAGAGGTGTGGAGTGCTGTCCGTGTGCTGATTTTGCCTCTTCCGGCAGGGACAGGGATCGGATTCGCGGCGCAGGTTCTGCTCGCCGTGTTGCGTGTGCTGAACACGATAGAGCACGTTCCACTCATCCTTTCGCTTGTATACAGGAAGCTCTGCAAGTACCTCCCGCAGCAATTCTGTGTTGCTGGAGAAGAAGAAATGGCACCACAAATATCTGAGCTTCATATTTCCGCGCAGCTCTACTACACAGCACTTTATCGCCTTGCAAAGGAAGAGTACGGCCCTGAACTGTGCATTGGCGAGGGGGACGAGGGTTTCTCCTCACTGCTTGCATGGTTCCGAGTTTCTGTTTCTGAGACGGTGCCTTCTCCTGCACTTGGCACGTGGGTGAGTGGTGGCCGCGAAGAGAACCGGGTGCTTGAATGGGCGTGGGGGGAATTCGTCGCGGCCAGCAGCGAGAAGGCCGTGGAAACAGCAGCGAGGAAGTTGCAGTTGGTGGAGCAACTACCGTCACACCATCCACTGCGTCGTTTGGAGTCTCTGTGGATTGAAAACGCACCGGATATGCTCACAGCGTACGTTGCGTTGGGCGGCAGCGGAGTGTCATTCGAAACGATGGACGTACTTGCTGGACAATTTGATGCAATGCGGCAAGGGTTGCTGCGGTTGGTGGAGGAACTTAGAGTGGCAAGGCAGCAGATGCATCAGACCGCCACAAGAAGCCCGGTGGCGCGTGCTGTGGGCGCCCACCTCCCGCAGACTCCGCTGCCGGTGCTGCGCTGCACGGAGACTGTCTCGCCCACGTGTGCGCTGAGACTCGATGCGTCAGTTCAAGTGCCACTGGAAACACCCACTGCTGTTGCACTACAAGAGGAATGGCGACCGCGCTCTGGGAAGGAAACCATTGAAGCCGCAGTACAGACAGTGCGCACTTCCGCACGGGATGAGGAGTTGCTACGCGCAAACCTTCGTCTGCAAACACGTGTGTGCTATCTTGAGCAGGTGTGTAGTGTCCAGCAACGAGATGAACAGACAGATTATCTTCCTTTTTCAGACACCCCAGCGACCACCGACGTTGTTGTACCGTTTCTATACCTCAAGTCGTACAGTTCGCATCTCGAGCACGTGGCCGCGCTGGAGTGGGAGTCTACTGAGCTGAAGAAACTGGTAGAAGCCTAACGAGAAGAGCTAATCGCTTTGCAGCGTAAGAACACCTCACTAAAGATGACGATATCTGGTGTCAGTTCCTTCTCCAACAAAAATCCTGCTCCCTTTCATACCACATACTCGATCTTCTGTGCCGAATTTCGACAATTTATGGTAGAGCGTAAGGAGCATGAACGCGGTATGGTTATTTCCTCCGAGACAAGAGACAGAACGGGGCTTCTGTGCTCGCTTTTGCGCGATCTGTCGTGAGAAAGCCTCATTCCTCTCTATTTGCTTTGATTGTTTCGCTAGTTCCGGGAAACTGCATGGGGTTCGTCCACAACCTGACAATAATGATCCTCGCATCGCAATGATAAATTCTGCATGTGCTGGCGCAATTGATGCTCTTTCCTCTTACGCATATATTTATATTTAAGCTGGCTTTATTTTCGTGGAGGGAAGCAAAAGCACGGACACCGCCGAGCTTGGCATTCTCCCCTGTCACCGCTGCCGTCATCGCATGCCCATTGGGGTTGCAGACGCAGATGTCATCCTTTGAATTTGCGGAAGAGCTCCTGAGTGGCATGCTCCTTTATTGGCCGCACCGTACCAAGCCCGTGTCACTGCTGTTGTGTGGGCCACACGGCAACGGAAAGAGCCATGTTGTGCGTACGGCGCTGCAGCGCGCGCAGGACGCCACACAACGCCGCGTCTTCACTTTTACCCCACACCTTGCGCAATCCCTTTCGCGGCGGCACGCGGATGGGAGCACAGTGCTGAGAAACAACATCCGTCGCGCCATATTCAGCGCTGCGTCATCAGCCGATAATGCCGCTAACAATGATAATGATAAGAGAGACGTGGCTGTGGCTGTAGTCCTTGACCACATGGAACTATTTATCACTGCCACTACCGATGCCGCGGAATCGATGCACAACGACGACGGGCAAGCACCGGGCCAGTTGCACACTACCACACCGCACCATCCAGCTCTTCTGGCCGATCTTTACGACATCATTCGAGGGCGTGAATTGTGTACAGAAGATGAACTCCAGCAGATGAATCTGAGTTGTGTTGCTTTCGTAACGCTTTTCAGCGGTGCATACGAGGACATCGATCCGTTTGCACGTGCAAAGCTTTTTGATGCTTGTGTATCCCTGAAAACACCGGCGGAGGCGGAGCGACTCGCGTTCCTGCAGAATCAGGTTTCCCTTATACCGACCATCTGCCGAGCGATGGCAGCTCGTACTGGCGGTATTACATACAGGGGATTGACTGAGATTGTTGAACACGCCGAGGACATCATGACCGGGGTGGAATTCAATGAGCTCCATCAGCTCTTTTTACATTCCAGTGACAATACAGATGGCGTTCAGCGGTTCCAGTATTCTGAGATGGCAAAAGAGGCGTTGGCAACAACAATTTCGTTACGCGCAGTTAGGGCATTTTGTGCTAGTGGCACAACTGCGGCAAAACAGTTCCGTCAAAGTGCAGGCTACGTGGATGTGCAGGAGACACATTGGCATGATATTTCCGGACTTGAAGAAGTCAAGCAAACGCTTCAACGGCTTGTTCTGCGGCCACTGCAGACCTATGCGACGTACCGCAGATTCGGAGTTCGTCCCTCCACAGGGGTTCTGCTCTGTGGGCTTCCTGGTACGGGCAAGACGATGCTTGCGCGGGCGATGGCCACCGAATTAAACGCCTCCTTTATCTACCTTGACCTGCCACAACTTATACAGGCCGAGGTGGGTGAGTCGGAGAAAATACTCCGGGGATTCTTCGATACTGCACGTGAACGCAGTCCCTCAGTGATGTTTATTGACGAGCTTCAGGCTGCCTTTGGTGTGCGACATGACAATAGTAGAAGGTCACGTTCCTCACATGATGCTAGACTCGTGTCACAGCTCCTTCATTTACTTGATGTGGCGCAAGCGGACGACGAGCACTTTACACTCTTCGTGGGCGCGACAAACGTCAGGCACATGCTGGACAAGGCGCTCCTGCGCGCTGGGCGTCTTGACACCGTGGTCGACGTTTCACTCCCAGACGAGGCGGCCCGCCACGGGCTGGCAAGCCGCGTGGTGTATGGTGAATGGGCCGCTTGGTTTCCTGCAGAATGTCAAGTCGATGACTCTGTGCGAAAGACACTGACAAAAGCCTTGGTTGACAGCACGGCAGGCTGCAGCGGGGCGGAGCTTCGTCACGCGATGAACATGTTCGCCTTCCAGTTCCTCCGACTTGTGCAAGTGGACGCGAGGGGAGGCAGCGCAGTGCCTTTGCACATATTGAATGAGTTTCTGACTGCGCAAGGAACTCGAAAATTGGGCACGCACGCCCAGAAAGCGCTGAAGCGCGCACTGTCGGGCACGCCACGTCTCTGACAGTTTGTTAGGCGCGGTGGTTGGAGAAAAGCGCCGATGTCTCAATGGAACTCTGTGAAACATGCGCATGTGCACACAAGCCTCGTACCGCTTTCTATACTGAGTGCATCCCCCTGTGACTCTTCTGTAGCTTGTCCCGCGGCTGTCGGCGAGACAGCAGTGATGACGGAGGGGTATACCTGGTCTGATATCGTTGTACTGTGTGTCTTGTTGTTTTCCTGCTGTGCTTCTGCTAGAAAGACATTATTTGTGTACCGATGATATCCCACATGTTGGATGCGATGCCGCAATTGACAGCCGTGCTCACGCGTGAAACCCGTTTTCGGGGGACGTGCGACGGGAGCACGCGATGGACCGGCGGTGTGCATACACTCTCGA